GTTGAAATACTCCATGTTTGCTGAAAAAGTCCAATTATTTTTGGGTACAGTTTTTTTTGTCTTTGAATAAATATCTAGAAACTTTTTTATTTGGGAAAATGAGATTAAACTTTTTTATTTGGGAAAGTAAGACATTAAGTAGTATTATTGCATGAATAATTTTTAAATATTTATTTTGCTTAAATAATTATGAATTTCAGCACATAGTTTTAAGTTTCATTACCAAAAATTCTTTTAAATGTTTACTAAATATACTTTTAAATGTTTAAATGATTGGTTCACCTATCTACTATACTTTTTATTTTCCACCACGCAATGCTTGGTTAAGGATCCTCTAAATTCTAGGTAATTGAAACTTAATTTAAAAAAAAAAGAAGCTATTTGTTTCCTCTTTCAAATAAATATATTGCATATAATTCCACTATTAGATATACTAGTAGTTTAGTGACATTACTTTCAAAACATACTTTAGTCAATTTTATTGAATTGCTTTTAAATACATGTTTAATTAAAAGTAATCAAAGAAAATTAAAGTGTGTTTACTAAAATAAAGTGCGAGTACAAAAGTGTGTTTTGATATTCTTTCGGAGTAGAAAATGAATTATGGAGAATAAATAATAAAAATGAAAGTAACCATAGTAACCATGCAAGCAACCAATCATAGTTCAATATTTTAAAACGAGATGAAAAGTTAGAGCAAGAAGTTGTTTGGTGTCAAATTAGCAATAAACGTAATTGAGCAGAAAAATTGAGTTCAGATAAATTTCCACTAGATCTTAGAACAATTAAAAAACAACTTGATATCATCATTGACACTGGTAGGGGGAAGGAATATTTTTTAATTTTCGCATAAGATGAAGAAGAGTTGTTAGTCTGTTATATAAAAAACAAAATAGATAATATGTGCACATTATGAAAAGAAACCTTTTTCTTATAAACTGTCAAAGTTGATAGGAATAAAATCTATGTTTTTTTATTGTGTTTTTTTATTATGATTAATGTTTTAAGAAAACTAAACTTGTTTTCTTGTAATTTCAATAATTTAATTAGATGTTTTAATTACATTTAAGTTAGTTAATGTTGACAAGGACAATGTTTAATATTTTATAAATAAGAAAACAACCCTGTAAAAATCACAGCGGATGTCAAAACAGAAAATGCCTAACCAAAAAAAAAAAAAAAAAAACTGTATTTTTGACTAGCTTTGCATCCTTTCTTCATCTATTAGTCTGGAATAAATATATTTACACTACATTGTTTCCATTTTAAGATGTTAATTGCTGAATCTTTTTAACTTAATTTTATAACTTTTATAACTAAAGAACTCATTCTATTATCTCCTAATTTGTGTACAGCTCGATAACTCATTTATATGGTTCTGAAGCCAGCTGATAGTCATGTTTCCTGAAATCTGCAGTAGCTCTCAGAGAGCCTGATTTCATCAATAGCTGTAAAACATCAAAGTACTAACAGTGTCATAAAGTTATGCACATGGAGTCCTTGTTCATAATTTTGGTGCGTTGTCAAGACCACATTTGGATCCTTTTGTTTTGACCTAGGGTTTATTAATAGTAATGAGTCAATCACTTGGACTAGTGTTCTGAGTACTATCCTTACTTTGACTTAAGTTTTATAACAAATATGAAAATGACTAAAGTACCAAATACCAAAAACACAAAAAGCCATTGTCATCACTAAGTTCTCTAAATTCATTCACTAATATTTGTGGTATTCAAAGTAACTTTCCTTTTGTTAAGTCTTATCTCATGCAAAGTTCACCAGACCTATTTTCTCTTTGTGATATCATCCTTTAATTTCTAAAGACTCTAATAGTCACATGATTGGCCTGGGCATTTATATTTGTAAGAATTCACCTATTTGTTGGGAAACTAGATTTGAATCCACAGACTATTCTTTTATAAGTTTTTCCTTTTTGTTGGGTAGAAACCTTTTGTCTTCCTGCTTGACAATTCCAAGTCAAGCCTAAGATTTAAAAGTGATGCATTGACATTTTAAATAAGCAAAAATTTTAGACTTTTAATCACTCCACCTGGCACAACTTTCTGGTAACAAAAACACAACAGGGTAATAGCTCATTGATCAAATCAATTAAAAAGCGCATTTTAGTTACAGAAGTCCAAAATCTGCAATTTATTCTTTGTTTATGACAACTATCATGAAAGGTTTCATAAATATACTTTTATAGTTATGGCTAAAATAGAAAAAAAATTATCAATAGTCAACAGTAAAAATAATTTTATCTCCAAAACATCACAGTTTGAAAATCCTTAAAGTAATACTCGAAACACCCTGAAAATGATATTTTAGGAAGTAATTGTAGACACGTGTAGATGTCCATTGCACGTGATTTTTAGTCCTGTAAGAATTTTGGAACCTTTTTTTTTCAAACTTTCAACATAAATTTGCTCAAAGCTCAATGACCATTTTACAGTGACATGTATTCAGCTTAGCAAAAGCCACAAGTTAAGTAGTTCACTGTCACGATCTCAACAAGCTTAGTAAAATATTTGTCAGCAAGAAAAATTTCTGACTCTAGTTTTGTGAAACTTAGAAAAAAGAAGGTAAAAAATATCCATAAGTAAACTTTACCCTCATTATGGTTCAAGGTGAAGATGAGTATCAAAGCCCATTTCAGAAAACTGTCAGATGGATGGCACCTACGTCATCAAAAACTATCAGTGTCTAGCAATTTAATATGGTATAATTCTAAAGACACTCTAGAGACCTATAACAATGTCAAATCCATTCTAGATCTCATTAAAGTTTAAGAAAAGTGTACTGAAAATTCCCTAGTTGTCTCATATGACATGAAGCTTGCCAATATAATATGTGTTATCATTTTTGGTCTCTTGCAAAGGAATTGCCATCAGTACTGCATATTCCACTTCAGCCCTACCATAGTTGTCATTTCAATGGCAATTATTGTATGAAACGTTTGAAAGGTGGTGGGCAAGTTGCAGCAGCTTGCTGATTCTGTCAATTTCAATCAGGCTATTCTCTTCATCCAAACTCTGTCTCATTTTAGAGATATGGTTAGGGATCGTCCATAAATTACGCAATGCAAAACTAATTTTAAAAGTATAAGTAGGAGAACATTTTTGAGCGGCGGTATAAGTTGAGAACTTTTGAGCAGCGGCTTTTGCTGGACTAACAGGGTTATTTATACATGGTTTAATTAAAGACTCTGCGAGGGAAAACTATTTACACTTTTTC